CACCTTTGTTTACTGGTGCTTGGATAGTATATGAAAAATGTAATCTGAAAGTTAAGCGAGATTGTTCCTCCGTTTTATCAAATAAAGGATTAACTCTTAATTTGCTGTGGAAGGCAGGCATGAGTCCTGTGCAATTTTTTTCCCAGCATTATAGGTGAGAGTCTAATGTTCACACATAGCTATATACAGCCAAGAATAAGGAATTTCTCTGTTTACTGAGGTCTGAAAATGTTACAATCTAAGTTACTCTCACCACTGTAATAGTTTAAACCTAAACAAACTTCACAGCTTAGCCTGTAGAATATTTTTTGTCTGGTGGAGAGCTCCATCGGAGAGGCTCGAGGTTGAATGTTCTTTCATAAGAGTAATTGTCAGCTACAGGAAAGATAATTCATGGTGATACACTTGATAAGAATAACTTCCTCATTCCTCTGGCTGGAGAATGAAAGTCTGAGTGCTTTACATTCATGTGTCAGGTTGCTCTTTGTCTGAAAATTCTGGTAATGTTAATGGGATCTGTTCTCCATTTAAATGCATTCTAGAAATCCCGTCATGTTGAGGAAGAAAGACGAAAAATCAAAGTAAAGGAAGACTTGATGGCAAAAAAAATGGAAAAATAGCAATAGTAGTATGTATTTGTAAAACTAGTCTTAGAAAACCTGATTCTTTCATTCTTTCTGCTTGCTCCTGAGCCAAGACTCAAGAGGTCTTCCCCTGTTGCAAGTTCAAACTTTTACATTAAAAACTCATAAAATGAGTGTTTCACTGGCACTGACAGGACTGGAATTTAGTTATGACTTGGGGACATCTTCATGTGGAGGTTGGGGACAAAGGCTGGTCATTTCTGTAGAGAGGATAGTTGCACTGGAGGGAGCCAACCCAAGGACCATTGCATTGCTGTTTGGTTTCTTTTCCCAAAAGGCAAACTATCACCTGGCTTTCTGCTGCCTAGAGCTTGCTGCAGTGGATGTGGGTGTGTTCCCATTATTGAGGCATTTGGGGTCTGGTGGCCACCCACCTGCCCTGCAATGGGACCCCAGGCTTTCCTAGGAGTGGGTGGATGAGAGAAATGGTGCCATGCTCTTTGTTTTGTGTCTGTGCTGCACAGAGTGAGCACTGAACTTGGCTGTGTGGTCTCTTCTGTCACTTTAGTTATGTGTGGGGAGAAGAAAAAGAAGCAGAGATGGGCACTTCTGCAGCATGTTGAACTTCAGGTTGCCAGAACATGTCATATAAATGCCGAGCTAGCTCTCTTAGCTTTTCTTCTAGTAAACCATACATGGTGGGTTGAGTGGGTTTGAAATGCAAATTTATTTTTTTTAAAGTATTTTCATATTTTAATGAGGCTTTGAGCAACCAGGCATAGTGGAATGTGTCTCTGCCCATTGCTGGGTGGTTGGAACTGGGAGATCTTGAAGATCCCTTCCAACCAAAACCATTTTGTGATTCTGTGGTTTTCCTTCCCTGGGTTTAGGATTTCAGACCTGCTGCTGCCCTGAATTTTGAATGTGTCTCTTGCTTTTTTTTACTGTGACTCCAGGACTCAACCATACCTTCAAAAAGAAGAGTACCTTCACTTTGAGCAGGCTCTACATGGGCATGCTTTGGGGTGCCTTGGTAGATTTGCAGCTTTTCAAACCTATTCCTGTTCAACCTAGGACCCAATCTGGGGCTGTGTGTTAGGGAGAAACACATAAATTGCTTTTGAGCTTCACCTGCTGATTCAAGTGGTCAAGTTGGTTGTAGGTGCAAGGTGCAGCAACCACGTCTGCCATGAAGAGCACTCCCAGCATGGCTGAGAAGCTTCAGCTTGTGTTGCTAAGGTCAGCCTCAAAAATCTGGGTTTTTTTAGTCCTTCTGTTGTGTCTTTAACTATGTGTTTAGCACTGAGTGTACTAATTATTAGTCTGAGTATATTAAATCAATCAGATCTGTGAAGACAGGAGCAGGGAGTGGATGTCACTTATTCCACTGTTAAACATCTGCCTTGGAAAAAAAAAAAAAAAGAAACAAACAACTAGCAAAGTACAGGTCAAAAATGTTTGCACTACTTTTGCAATTGCCTTTTAACATTCCCCTACTCACATATTTTTTTTCCAGGAGTTTTATGCTGCTGTTGTGTGGGTTTGAAGCAGTGCCAGGGAGACAGCTCTCTATATGGCTCTGCCACTGTGTGCTTGTGCCTTAAATAGTTGAGTGCAATTCAATGTGGCGGTAAGAAAATGAGCAGTTAATGTTGTTCAAGTGTTAATTGTGCCAGAGTGTGTTTTCAGAGCCTCGACACAGCAATACTAAGAACATTTAATTAATGCTTTTGTGCGATTTCTCTGAACGGGTGGCAGGAGTCTGCTTCGGGACAGGCTGTAGTGGCTCATGATTGCACATTGTTCTCAGTTTTCCTTCCATCTGAGGAATCATGAGAAAAACAGTCTATGTGGAAAGTCTTGTTAATAACTCCCCTCAGACATAGCAAGTGGTCCTTGATTTCCTTTTGGCTTCTGGCACTGTTGAAGTCAATGGCACTGGCAAGCACTGCAGGGAATCAAGGTGAAATACTCTTGTTCTCCACCCATGCAGTGACAGCAGGAATGGAAGACCTCACTATAAGAGTAAAAGCTGTGTATGCCTGTTTGTTTTTTTTTTTTCCCTTAGATCTGTGTAGGAAAGTAAGGTGCATGCTGTGCTGTCATCAGTACTTAAATTCTGTAGATTAGTACAGGCATTACAGAGATGAAAAATTGTAACTGCAAAATTAAAAAAAAAAAATTCTACCAGTACTTTGCATAGACAGTTTTGCAGTGGTATGTCGCATAACTGAAGGGGTACTCAGTCTCTAATTAGACCCTTTCTTTCTAAATCCAAGCTTCTCATTGGAACCTGTCTGAAGAATATGGTGCCCCAACATAAACTGAGTAATTACTGAAATTCAAAAGCATTAAGTCTTAAATTAACAGAGGGAAAATACATATTTGTGATGCATACAATGGAAGCACATTCAGAAAGGTCACCAAAACACATCCATGTTTGGAATTAAAAGAGAGCTGGATATGGCAGTGAGTGTTAATAACACATATGAGCTATTCAGGATGAGGGTAATCAACACTTCAGGTCACACAGCTCAGCTGGTCACAAATATATTATCTCCTCTAGAAGCTTTTCTCTCCCTGCTTTACAATATCATGCTGTTGTTTGAATGCATTGCAAAAGCTTTTGTGCATTTGGAAACGTAAATTACTACTTTCTATGCTGCCAGAGGTACTGTATACCATCAGCCAGGGGAATCAGTGTGAAGCCATACATTTGGGGATCTGTCATGTTGCCTTTTTGCTTTTGCCAGGAACATTTGATGCTTTTCTGAACACCTTACTTAACTGTGACCAGCCACAGCCCAGGATGGGGAGACCAAGTGGTGTGTGGGTTTCTCTGATTGCTGAGTCTGGAGCCTTTTAATCTTACTGGCTCCTTCCCCTTGCAAAACCAGATTGCACTCAAATACATTGTCTCTGGTCCCTAGAGCCCTGACAGCCACATGTTGAAAACATTTGCCTTTAACCTTAACCTGTTATGAGGTAGAAAGGCGCCTGAATCAAAGCCCAGGTAAAAAAGGCAGTTGGAGTTCAGAAGCACTGGTTATTGGGAGCTGCAACTGTCTCCAGGTGTATGCCTCTCTGGACAGGGACGTGTAGATCCACATGTCTAGCCAGAGCATTTGCAGCCCTACCCTGAAACTGTTCTTCCTCCAAGCCTGCAGTTTCCCATCCAAATGAACAAGACTTAAGAATGCAAACAGTTTTGCAATGCCAGCACCAGAGGACACTTGGCAAGCATCTCAGTCTGGAAGGGGCTGGAGTGACCTGGGCAACAAAACCAAAGCACGTGTACACACCTGTGCATTCCTGTCTTGCTCCTCCAAACAGACATCTCTCAGCTGTCACAGCCATCCTGGTTTGCTGGTGAGTTCTCACTTCTCCCTCTGATGTTTCATGGAGCCTGTCTTCTCTTACACCTTTGGGGAAGAGGCCCCTTGGAAACAGCAAACCATGGCTGGGGCTGCAGAGGCTGTTGGGTCCCCACCATGCTGGAAGAAGTCAGGGCCTGTGCCACAACTGCAGGAGGTTTTTGGATGAGAACCCTCAAACCTTCTTGCAGGAGGTTGTTAGGTATAGAAACTAGTACTGAGTATTTAGGGATTAATAAGTGCACTTCATTTATTGATTGCACCTGAAAGGGGCTTTTTCCAAAGGGACGCAGTCTCTTCAGCAGCATTATGATGCATGGTGAATAATTCACGTGAAAATATCCAGCAAGTTCTGGGGTTGGGCTTTTAATATAGTGCTTATATATTTTTGTCTCGTTAACACTGTGAATCTTTGGGATCTTATTTATAAGTGCTACGATGTTTCCAGTGCTTTTTTCCAACTCTTACTAAAGTGTGTTTCTCCAAGACCAAGGACAGGACTCTACGAACATCCACGGACATGCTTCATTTGACTCTCCTAAGTTTTCTTTTCACATCATAAGTTAATATTCTCCTGTTTTAGGCAGGGATCTCTGTTTTACAGGATTTGGGCAAAATATATGAAGATGTATATTATATAAAGTTTCTCCCTGGTATTTTTATTCTATACATAAAGCTGTATCAGTCATATTTCATTTAATGGGTATTTCATTTTGCTCTTTGAAACTAGTCCAAGGTTGCTGCTGACAAGGTAGAGTCCAGGGGGCTCTTTACGTCCCAAGTGTTGGGCTTTTTTTTCCTTCTGTCAGATTTTTCTAAAGTTAAAATTTATCTGTATTTTGTTCAGCTTGTCTGCATATTATCCAGTGTATATATCAGAGGAAAGGTTTATATATATTTATATATAAATGTTCACAAACCAAAGTAAATTAATAAATCTTCCTTTTCTTATGAAAGAGGTAAAGAAAAGTACCTGGCCAATACAGTACCATTAATCTATTCTCTTTTCTCCTTTCTCTCTTTACCTCTCTCTCTACAATAGAAGTGGAACAAAAAGGTAATTAAATACCTTTCAAATTATATATATATATATATTACTTATGTATAGGCTAAGTTATTTAACAGTTTAACGTTTTAGTTGAAATACTTTGTCATTAATTCTCACTACCTTTTTGTTAAAGTTTATTTAGTATCTCTGCTGCTCAACTTCACCAGATAACTCATATTTGCTGAAAAGTTTTTACCAGTGCCACCTTTTTTTTTTTTTTTCCATTAAATTTCTATTCAAAGGCTTAGATATTTTTCCTGCCCCAAAGAATTTGGAAGGTGTGCATACATATGTATGTGCATAAGTATATCTAATTATGGCATAAAAGCCTCTTGGAAATGGCACCCCTTTTTCAGCAACTCTGTGTGGTTACTTAGACGCCAATGGATCTATATCATTTTATACTGGTTATTAAATCTGATTTTCCTCCTGTCTTGCTCTCCAGACAGCATTACCAATTTCTGCATTTACAAAAAATAATGAATTACGCTCCGAGCAGGAAGTGTGAATGTGGGATCCCATCTGCCGGAAGCGCGCGGTGGGATGCTTCTTCATGCCTCCCTGCCGCCCATCCCATCGTCACCGTCACTGTGCCTCTCACGGACATCAGCCTTCCAAATAACCAGCCAATATTCTCCCCCCCAAGCGTGTGCAGCACCTCCAGGCCAGGAGGGTGCTGGCGGGGATGGCGAGGGCCAGATTTGCTCCACAGCATCCCTCCTCTTGCCTCCCCATGCATCCATCCATCCATCTACCCATCCATCTATCCATCCATCCAGCTGGCCCCTCGGTGGTGGTGTTCCAGTGGGGCCGAGGTCAGATGGCCTCTTCCCAGGTCTTGGGCGTGCCCTGGCCCCTGTCAGCCCCCCCTGAAGTCTGAGCAGCAAAGCATCCCAGTTAGTCAAACTGCTCCTCTGTGCTCCTCTCATGTAACAATAGAAGGTGTATGTTTTTAAGTTTGAATTACTACTATATTTAACAGGACATTTTTTTAACTGATTAAAATCTAGACATTGGGCTCCTCTCCAGCAAACTTTATTCTTTTCCTTCCTTCTTTCCTTTCTTCCTTGTCTTTTCCTTTCAGCATCCATATATGTCATTCGTTTTTAATTGTGTGGACTGCATGTTTCATGTGTCCTGTAGCAGCTTGGAAAGTCTCATTTCTAGTTATACTCCAGATGGGTGTTCCCTCCCCCCCACCCCTTTGCTTTAAACGCTCCTCTGAGTTGCTAAGGGATTTGCCTCTGCTTTGGTATTGGTATCCTTTAAATATTTAATATCACTTGGGCTGTAAGGATGGGAATTTCTAGGCCACTCTTCTGTGGGCTGTTCAAATAAATATGTGGATCAATTCCCTCGGAGTTTAGCCCTTCACCTAGTAGGTACAGATTCACTGCAGAATATAATTTGGAAATACAAACCCAGAAATCCTTTGGGGGCACATACTCATTTCAGAGTTTGCAAAAGCGAGTGGTCCAAGTAAGTATACGTGTAAAAATAGATTTGGAAAGCAATAAGAAAATGAGCCACAGTTGATAGAAAAAGCTGGGGTGGGGGGAAGAAACCCAGTTTGGTGGAGCAGATCTTTTTCCAGAGGTATGATGGGCAGGAAGGATAGTCTCCAGCTACAAGGCATTGCTCTTGGGTTTCCTCTCATCTCAAGTGTCCTCTGCTCCAGGTCTAGAAGGTGTTGAGATGCTTGGGCCAGCCACCCCTCAGCTGTCATTAACTTTGCTTTTCCTGTTAAATTCTTTTCCCCCACGACAGTTTTTCTTTGCCCTGGACTGCTGAAAGGAGTTTACCAGAGCGAGCACCTATTCGAGTCTGACCACCAGTCGGGTGCCTGGTGCAAGGACCCTCTGCAGGCCTCTGACAAGATCTACTACATGCCCTGGACGCCGTACCGGACGGACACGCTGACGGAATACTCCTCCAAGGACGACTTCATCGCCGGCAGGCCGACCACCACCTACAAGCTGCCGCACCGCGTGGACGGCACGGGGTTCGTGGTGTACGACGGGGCCCTGTTCTTCAACAAGGAGCGGACCAGGAACATCGTCAAGTTTGACTTGCGGACCAGGATAAAGAGCGGGGAGGCCATCATAGCCAACGCCAACTACCACGACACCTCTCCCTACCGCTGGGGAGGCAAGTCCGACATAGACCTGGCCGTGGATGAGAACGGGCTCTGGGTAATCTATGCAACAGAACAAAACAACGGCAAAATAGTCATTAGCCAGTTGAACCCTTACACGCTGAGGATTGAAGGGACGTGGGATACTGCCTATGACAAGAGGTCAGCTTCCAATGCCTTCATGATCTGTGGGATTTTATACGTGGTGAAGTCTGTGTACGAAGATGACGACAATGAAGCCACAGGGAATAAAATAGACTACATATATAACACTGACCAAAGCAAGGATAGCATGGTGGATGTGCCCTTTCCAAACTCTTACCAGTACATTGCTGCTGTGGATTATAATCCCCGGGACAACCTCCTGTATGTATGGAACAACTATCACGTTGTAAAATACTCCTTGGATTTTGGCCCGCTGGACAGCAGAGCAGGTAAGGGGTTCAATACCAAACCAATTTTTTAATTGTTTGGATTTTTTTTTTTTTTTTAGTATTTATTTTTGTGTAAAATTGAAGTACACTCTTGTCTTACTGACCTGGCTGAGTTTCTGCAAATAGAGCCCCACCACAGAGCTATATAATAACCCATCTATATACTAGAACCCATCGATATAATACAACCCATCTATAATGGTTATTAAGACATTAATATGTGCAGAATTTTTTTTTTGTCTTAGTTGAAATGAAATGGACAAAGGAGTATCTACACATAAGTAGCCTGAAACAATTTCCAAATGCCGATAATTTTATTCACAGGGATAGCAGTCTTTTCTCCTGAATCGAATTTCTTTCATACATCATCAGATCATTTTCCGTTCTGCAGGAGTTTTGACAAAATAAAGCGTGGAGGATGTTGTTGCAAACAGCTGGAGGAAAACTGTCTTCCAGTTTAAATTTCTTTGTTTCATTAAGCTGGGGGAATTTTGTCGTTTTAGAGAAGCTGAGACTAATTGAATACGTGATCATGCACCCACAAGTGTGTCTGGAGTCAGGAGGAGAATCAACAAAATCCTCTAAATTCTTCCTTTATTTTCTGTGAAGTTTCTCTTTCTTTTTAAAGCATTTCATGACTTAATGTGAATTACTATACTTTATCTTAGAGGATCATCTGGCCCCCAGAGATTTCCCAGCTTTTCCACCATTTTTCCTGTTTGAAATTGTGCTGGTAGTTACTTAGGTATATTCCCTTACCTTTATCAACTCCATCATCATTTGGCAATTATAAAGTGACCACTTCACTACTAACAAGACTTAGCCTACACTCTGTGTTGAAGCTTGTATGATGTTGCAAGAATTTCTAAACAGGATCTGCTCAGTCACTTTAAATGGTTGTCAATTTACTGATGGAGTCATAGTATAAGGTAGTTCTTGTGGTGGACTGTGTATCTGAAAGGCAGGATAAGTAAGAAAAAAGGCAGAATTAATATAATTTGGACAGTAAAATATTCAACTCATAACATGGCTTCTTTTGAAACATTTCTTTTTGTAAGTAAGAAACTTGAAGGTGGGTGGGTGGATTCAGGGCTTTAGGTTGCAAAAGAAAAGTGAAAAGGTTTCCAATGATGAGATTTTCATTTTCCTGTGTGCAGCCTGTTACCCATATAAAATGAAAGTTAATCAAGAGATGCTGAAAGACAAATTGTGGGTATGAAAATCTGGGGAGGGCTGGAATAAAAGTAGTAAACTGGCAGTGAAATTGTGATTCTTTTTTCTTACGAAAATGTAAGGAAGGGGAGAAGAAAATCTTGAAGAAGCAGATGAATAAGAACTGAATGACTGTTAAGGAGTAGAGATATTTTCAATGATGTTGACCTCTGCAAGATCTCAGATGAGTAAGAAATGAAATAATACTTCTCATTCTCCAAACTTAATGACAAGCATGTACTTTCTGGGTGGTGGAGTGAAGCAGAGCAATTTGTGAGCTATTGGCTATCCTCAAGGAGTGGAAATCAATTGCATCCCTTCCATTTCACAGAGTTTTTCTCCTTTTTAGTGAATTATTTCCAGGTATTATAATGGACTCTTCACTGACGCTTTTTGATGTGGCGACCATTGTCAGTAATAGCAGCTTTAATAAAAAAAAAAAGAAAAAAAAAAAGAAGTGAAAAACCTAAAAAAGGGAAAAAATCCTATTAAAAAAGGAAATTGTCCTCTTTTTTTTTTTTTTTTTTTTTTTTTTTTTTTTTGCAATGTAAGATGGTGAAATGAGAGTAGGTGAAAACCTCGCAGGGGGCTGAAAGTCTGTGAGGTGCAAGGATTTGATTTTTGTCTTTGTGTCACTCTGGTTTGAAGCCCCTTTAGTTTCACTCTGGTTTAGATGAGAATTTAGAATCCCCCAGTGCCTCAGATAGGAAGCTGAAGCAGTTCTTAGCTTTGAGTGGTGGGCATGAGAGAGTTAATTTGGTGTCAGGGAATCTGGTGAGCCTTCTCTGACATTCCCGGTGTGCAAATTTTGTACAAAGCTTTGTAATGTCGACAAAAGACTAAATTTTATATGGAGTTTTCTCCTCGGAAAATTGTTGGGAGTTCCTTTCTGGCAAAACTGCATAAGGATCCCATTACCTCACTATTTTACAAGTTTAGAGGACTTTTGAGAGGTCTGCTCAGACAGCAACTGAATTTTTTGATGAGAAAACTTGAATGGGCCAAGATGTTTCAAAGAGAAGAAAAAAAACCACTTCACTAGGGGAGTTTACTGCTCCATTACCCACATAGCCTGATTAATGGGAACCATTTTTGATGAATCATCGAAACAGGAGCACTGATTTTAAGTTGAACAGGTGAGCAAATAGTTGCTTGACATCAGGCTTTTTTGCAGAGAGGAGCCAGGAGACCAGGTCTGAATGATGCTTTCTCTTCCAAGTTCAGTGCAACCCATTTTCAGGTTAGCACCAAATTTCATGCTGCATTGCTTTACATATAACACTAAATATCTGATTGGCTTAAACCCAGCTCTTCCACCAAAGAGCAGGAACAGAAGCTGATACCACCCTGGGAAAGTAGTGAAGAACCAGGGTATTTTTATTTGGGGTTTTTTTTTTTAGATTTTTAATTTTTTTTACAGAGTAGATTGTGGATATGTGTTTCTCTTCTCTTCAAAAATCACCAGAGTTTCTCCATATTAGAGCCATGTTCAGTGCAGGCATTTTCCATGGTGCTACAATATGAGTAGCAAAATTTGTAAACAGTATCAGCTTAATTAAAAAATAAAAGAAGGATTGTAAAATTGATGGGTTGAACATATGGGTTGTTAAAAAACAATTAAGGGTAGGGTTTTGGAAGAGCTCTTAAAACCAAAAATTGATCATAACAAGAAAAGTGAAATATTTAACTACTTAAATAGCCAGTAACATATTTGAAATCACTTGTATCATACATTTTAGGGATACCTAAAATAAAATACAGGTTCTGGGGATTGCAGTTCACCTAGAATCAAGCATTTTTAGTCTTTTCCCAAACTGTCCAGAGAAACTGGAAGTTGGCAAGAGTTGCTTAATTTATAGGAAAGGCAGGACTCTCGTATCCTCTTGCTGTTCACAGTGTCTAAGCATTTTCTGTGATTTTTAATTAAAGATATGTGCATGTAGGTTGGGAACAGATTTGAGATCTTTGCTGTTGCAGAGCATCTCTCACCTGCTGTTTAAAAGAATGGGCTATTTTACTCCTTGGAGAGAGTGAGTGTCAAATCCTGGAGTTCTGTGCTCAGCTTCTGCAGCAGTTGTTAGTTACCAGGGAAAACAAAATATTTTGAAGTGCTAAAAGCTGAGTGTAGCTGATCTAGAAGCAATTCAAGGCTCTTGATGGAATTAAACCTAGCTGTTCGTTTTTCTCAGAAATGAGAAAAGCTGCATTTTAAGGTTTTACCCCACTCTTTTTTTTCTTTTCCCCCCCCTTTTGTCTGGGGTTGTTTTTAATTTATCCCAAAAGTGGTTTTGAAAGCAAACACTCTTAGTGCCTGCAAATCCCAAGAAACCTATAATTAATGTCTGCCCTCAAGAAGTGAACTTGAAGTTACCAAAAGCCTTTGAAGTGTATTTTCTTTGAGCTATTTGGCCTTAAAATTAGCATTTTGGGGGATGCTTCTTCATAAATGTTCTTGAGTTTTTGGGTTATTTCTTTGTAGCTTCTATTGAGTTTTTGAATTTGAAGTGTTAGTAAGGATAGCTCTGCATCTTTTCTCATTCTTCTAGAAGTTAAACCCAGAACAGTATTCAGGTTATTTTTTTTAACGTGTCCTACTAGACATATGCAGCGAAGGAAACAGAAGGCTGTAGTGACAGCATGAAAATTTTCTGCAACCTAATCAGTTGATATTCACCAGAGTTACCGTTTTAATCATCACTCACTTAGGATACGTTCTGTGCAAATAAACTCAAGAAAATATCAACAAACCTTCCTCTCCAGAAAGGTGAAGTGCTCGTGTCCTGCCTGTGCTGCATACAAACACACATCTCCCTGGTGTGCCTCAGCACCTCCCTGAGCAGCCACAGCTCCTGCCTGCCCCCCAGCCAGGGCATCACAGAGACCGCAGGTTCTGTCCCTTAAATGTGCGAGGTGCGTGCCCTGGATTTGCCCACTGAGCATTCGGGTGCTAAGGCGGGGACTGGAGCCTGTTCCGTAGTAGAGAAGTCCAGAGAAGAGCTTGAACCAAGTTAAAGATCCCTTTGTGCATATTTTGGCCTTGGATGTCCCAGCAGCCGTTCCCAGTGACATGAGAAACACAGACCTCCTATTTTCGAGAAGGTGTTTTAAATTATGTCCAGGAGACCCAAGCACTACCATATGGGCTGTTCCATGGATGTGTGAAGTTCTTAAAGGAGGTGCCCCATATAAGGAAGATGCTGATTTGATATGTAGGACTTCTAATACAGCCTAAATGTGCTTAAGTGGCTTCCACACATTTCACATTAACATTGTGGACAGCCATTCTGTTGATACAGAAAGTGATACAGATACAAATGTGATACAGAAATTGCATGGATATCTGTGATATTTTAAGAACCTCAGAGGAGGGTGCACGTCAAACTTTTCCACATTTTGTCAAGTATTGTGGGATGCTCTCTTGACGTGATTGCAAGTATTTTATTCAGTCAGAATGTTTGGGTTGTTTTGTGTTTTTTCTTCCTGAAGCAGTTTCACAATGCAGATAAGGTGAACAGTCTGTCCTTATAATATGCTAATTAAGTGTGTTTGTGTCTTGGGTAAAAGATGTGGCAGCATGGTGATGAATAAGGACTTTAAACACATATGACACCTCGTTAAAATGTAATTTTCACATCATAAATCTGAGTCCTTTCCTTTGACAGCTGAGTAATGTGGGTAGTGGGCAGAGAACCTGAACGTCTCAGAGCTGCCACGTGCTCACATGGAGCTGGGAGATTCCAACACCCGACTTCCCTGCCCAGGAGCGCATCCAAAGGGATACGGAATCT